GACAGACAGACAGACAGAGAGAAGGATGGGAAAAGATCATTGACAGAGACATGAGACAGGCAGAGGATAGGGGAAAGAAGAGGAGAACAAAAACATAAGGTGAGATGAATGAAGCCAAGACAGCCATCAGTGATCATCTTACAGCAGACATATTCATTGACGGTGAATTCATGACTGTAGTGTGTATCACAGATTCCTAAACAGCTTTTCCTTCTCTTCAGGTTATTTCAGCATCCCCAGACAGGAGTCATCATGTTCATTTCCAGGATGGATAGTGTGAGTCTGAAGCTACTTTTAAAAACACTAAGCTGCTAACAATCCTGCTAACAGCCCTCAGCAGAAAATACGAACAGATGAGAGAGTGGTTCTGAAACTAAACCTAGCGACAGTTACAGGTTAAGACATACGTGCCGGCTAGATCCCTTAGATCCTTTGACACAAACCTCTTGACTGTTTCTGAGGTCAGAACTAAAAAAGTGAGAGTCAGCCTTTGTCAATTATGCTCCTAAACTCTGGAACAGTCTGTCTGAAGGGCACAAACACTGTTGGCACCTTCAAACTAAATCTTCAGGAACATCTTCTTACCATTTTCCCTTAAAGTGTTTTTATCCTGTCTTATCCTGCGGTTTCAATTCAATTAGATTTGATTTTCCCTTTTCTTATTGTTTTATCACAGATCTCATGATTATTTGCTTCTATGTTGAACACTTTTTGTTACATCTTATGCATCACCTGTGCTATATCAATTATTAATAATGAAAGACAGACCATATGGGCATAATATATACATGAACACCACTAAGTAACTGTCTGAAACTGGTTTGAAGCATCAGATGATTTGTTGTGCTTCTTTATATAGTGTCCAGTTCAGTGCCACCAGTTAAAGTACTCAGGGTATGGAGGACTTTTATCAATACAAAGCAGCAGTAAATAAACAGATTTACATGCATGACATATCTGAGCATTTCTGTTTTGGAATAGTTAAAAAGCTGTTTTATTTAATTTTCTATGTCCATGGTAACACAACTCTAAACCCCAGCCAATGTAATGCCCTTAAATACACTGTCCACATTGATGCTCAGCCCCTCATTGACTGATACACTTACTTGAGTACTAGATGCAGGTTAGCAGATAGTCGCGGGTCTGTGAACTGAGTTGTTCGATTGTTGTGGTCAACAAAGTAGACGCGGCCGGTGGCTGTGTTTCGGATCTCCCAGCCTGGTGGCAGTGGGCCCAGCTCCTCACAGTTCACATTGCTTAGGTCCCTGAACAAAAAAAATAGAAACCATCAGCAAAAATGATACTAAATACAACCATAAATATAAATATAAATATAATATAAACATACTGCACATACTGCATAAAACAAACAGGCCTGCTGAACAAACAGCATAATCATCACACTTAGACTTATTACTTCAGGATTATGATGCACCACGATATAACTAACTGGTCTCTGATGGACCTGTAAAAGAAATGTTTTGTTTTTGAAGAATAATGTAAATAACTGTAAATCAAGTTTTTTTTTAAAGATCTTTTTGGGGATTTTTATGCTTCATTTGATGGGAGAGGAAAGAGGGAAGAAAGAGATGGCAGACGAAACACAGCAAAGGGCCGCAGGTTGAAATCGAAACCTACGCTCTACCAAGTAAGCTACCGTGCTCCCCAATAAATGTTATCCTTTGATAACAAATGTAATGATAACACTGGTGTTGAAATCTAGGTTGACATCAGATCCAAGAGCATCGACAACATTAAAATTGCTGTTATTCTTCTGACGAAGTACTTGGTCTAATTTCTTGATTCTTCTCTCCCGTTCACTGACATCCCCATCAGTAGAAACCTAAGCGCTGATGTGGGACAATGCCGTAGCCTAAGGAGAACTTGTGCGTGTACTTTGTCCTTGTGTGAAGTGAGGACACACCATTCAAGGACAAAGCACATGGTTTCATCACAACATACTGGGTCATTTTAGCAGCTCTGTCCAAAATGACCAAACCCAGAGGTTGCTGCTGTGAGTTGGATGTTAAATGCATGTGCTTCAATGCTGAGCAGGAGCAACACTGAGACATGGCCCAAAAATGTAACGCAATAGCACTGCCTGCAATCTCTGGTGAATTAACGGTTTGATTGAATGCAGAACCACTGGCCTGTAGTGTGTTCAACTCAACATCTGTCCAAAAATGTTCTTCCAAGTCCACATCGGAGTCCAGGGTCATTAGTTTGGCTGACCCCGACTTCAGCCTGAAATTTGAATAATAAGACCGTTTTTGAACACAGCCCTAAGCAATTAACTGAGAAATTAGGTCTGATCCAGCCCAGTCAAGTCCAGTTTGGTCCTGTCAGGTGTGGGAATATTTGTCAGGTTTCATATTAGGATTAAAACAATACAGGCCGTTAGCACTGCAGTGCATTTATCCCGTGTGTGTCGTGTGTCAACGTAGCATTGAGGAAATTATGCTCATATTAATAGCTATTAATCACACTTATCCAAAGAAACATATTAAAGCTGCAGTAGGTAACTTTAAATATAATAAATATACAATAAATATAGACAAATATGAACACAAATGAGTTACCTGGGCACTCGGGGGTCATGCCAGGTGCTGACTCCAGTCTGTGTGTGGAGGAAATAGACCTGACCCTGCTGAGTGGTTCTTTGCTCTAAAACAGAGAGAAATTTGATTGGAATTAATATTTCGAAAAGGCAAAAACACCACTGAAACAAGCTTGGAACTGTTGCTGGGACTGTTCTGTAGTCTAATCCTGGTGGGTACAAGCATGGATAGTGAGATTGTGTATTTTGGAGAAAGGGGAAGTCTGTTTATAATTGATGTGACAGGCAAACTGCAGGGACAGGAGTTTCTTAAGGTGCGCGCCAATGTAATCAATTAGTTCCTCTCCAGCCTCCAGTAGGCCTGTCCCAAGAGGATGTGGAAAATAAAATGTGAGGGAAATATATCAAAGACTTCCATGAGTGTTTTTCCTTGCACAGTTGCAACTCATCCTAGTTGCCTTGTTTTCTCTTAAAGGTTGGTGCATGCTATGAAAGTCTGCTGTCACTTTCTCCAAACCAGCTCTTATACTATAATGTAAACAAATAAGGGAACCGAGGACACCAAAAAGACATCCAAAGACAATGGTTTAATACTGATTAATGAATGGAGAGTGAGTGTGTGAATGTTGGCACCAAGTGTGTGTGCTGCATGGTTGTGTGTATATTCACCCACTAATCCATCAACCCCCCCCCCCCCCCCAAACTTCCTACTGGCACAACTCATTTCCTACCCGCCTTTCCCTCTTTTTCCCCCCTCACACACTCCCTCTCTCTCTTATTCTCTCTCACGCTCTCTCACCACACCCAGCCACTGGTTCAGAGGGTTCAGCTGAGGAAGAAAGCTCACTAGCTGTTGGGCATCAGTGACTCACTTTGTCCGACCTTGGCCAGTCTCAGTGGACACAGCAGGACATTTCAAAGGGGGCTCACGTCCAACAATACCATTCTAGATTGCTGGCATACAACACCACACTTAAAATAATAATTTATTTTACAGACTCTGTGGGTATTGTGGGGTACACTGTGGCTGACTGTGAAAAGTGAAAAAAAAA